AGAGGAGAGACCCAGAAGTCTGTGCCACTGCCTTAACTAACCCTAGACAAGTTTGAGGGATGCAAGGATTTGGAGTTAAGCATAAAACCAATGTGCAGTTCGTCACTGGAGGGCTGAACCTCAGGCTTTCTTCTGCTCACTGAGTTAGGTGAGCTGGGTTACTCTTCAGAAACAAGAAAATTATTTTGTTGGGTATTTTTTTTTATTTATATTGAGGCTAGAAAACTGTTATTAGGCACTCCTAAGGGTATGCATTTTGGGGTTAGTTTCTCTCCATCACCTACCACAGTTTAACTCAAGGTCATCTTCCCTTGGTACATCACCCTGAGCTCTGGAGGAGGCATAGGGCTGGAGGAAGGGGATGAAAGGACTTCCAAAATGGTTTTCCTGGCACGGTCAGCCAAGCGACAGCACTGCTGTGATAAGGGCGACACTGGATGGCTGCCACGACGTCCTTACAGCGAAATGTTCAACCTTTAGCTTGGGGATTGCTTCTGTCTCTGGGCTGCTGTGGGGCTGGTTGGAAGTGTTGATGTTGAGGCAGCTTGGTGCCACAAGAAGTTAGTCATTTAGGGGGTGAGAAGGGGTGGCTTTGCCTCCTGTTATGTCAGCCATAAGCTCTGGGCAGGATTATTTTAATCTTTTCCTGCAACCCATTATGATGCGCTGCTATGGCAGGCAAGGCTGAGATTGGGGGTATGTTATTGATACTGGATTACAGATAAGATAAAGTCTGTTGCTGTCCTGGCATCCAGCAGTTGCAGCCTGGGGTGGAAAATTTGAGGAAAGGAGTACAATTGGACAAGGGTATAATTAAGAGGCAAACTTGGATCCTTTCCATCTGTATCTACTGGATACTTTGCCCATCAGCTGTAGTAAAAGGTGGTAAAAAAACCCCACAAGTCTTATTGTTTGTTTTGCTAATAATTATCTTGACTGCATTAAAAAAGGGCTTTTATTAAGACTGCTGCTCTCTAAATACTATTCATAAAACAATGATGAGAGAATACGATGGAAAGTTTTATTTTTCTCTGTGTCACTTCGATTTCTTTGTTACTGCTAAAATGACTGCTCTGACTCATATTTTGCATAGTTATTTTTACCTTTTCAAATGTTCCTTAACTGTTCATATTGCCCTGGGCAAATCCCCCGGGGATAATTTTCATTTGCATGCAGACTTTGATGGTGTTATTAAGCAATCACTTTCTGTACTAAGTCATTATTAAAAGTAACACCACAGAGCCTCAAAAACACATTAATGGTGCCAAACAATCCACATTTCAGCACTAGATTTATGGGAAGGGAAAAGCACTAGGTCTCATACCATTCGGTGGATGCAGCTCTGTAGAGCTGTAGCAGCAGTAGGCATGATCAGAAAATAGCAGAGCCAGATTCAGAGTCCTTATCTGTTGTATCTGTTGTCAGCTTTATTCTTCCAAATGCTTTGCTTTTTCTTGCTTTTTTTTTTCTTTTTTAATAACCTGCCTGCTTCCTACTTTTTTTCCACCCCCTCCACTCCCCCACCCCC